GCAGCAGCGCCCGAGGCTGTATCACGTCCTGGTTGAAGGGCTTGAGGACCTCACGAGCGGCTAGAGTCATCGTGCTACCATAGGGACCGCTGAACAAGGAACGAAGGGGCCTTTGGGACCACGGCGAGTCTCGGCCACGAATCAGTTCCACGACCTCAGTGTAGTGAACGGCCACATAACCAAAGCCCTTCCTGAGCCCAAAAATGATAATCTTTTCAGCGGCTTGACTGTAGCACCGCTGATCCGCAGAACATGTGTTAGCGCCAACGTGTGCTTGTTCACCGAAACCCTTCAATACGACGCAGGCGGCGTAACCATGAGGCCGATACAGGCTGCGTGCTATCGGTGCGGCTGAACAGGGTCAAAATACACCGGGCTAACATACGTTCTGAGGATGTTCGATGGATTTGGCCCTGCGATGAGGAGAGAAACCGACCAGTCCAAGGAGGAAAGGGCGATCTAGATTCTAGGCGTGAATACGTATGGCTTATGTCCGCTCGTCGCCACGCCTCGCGTGGCGAGAGTCGCTAGTTACAGTGGCTGGATCAGACATCTTATCGTGAAGGGTGGGCCCCGAGAGTAAACTGACAGCAAACGAATGTGACGATGCTGCTGAAATCGTTCCTTGCCTCGGCGACTAGCGTGTCGTCTATGCCTTGAACCAAACACCAATCGTGTTCGACAAACATGTGGAACAAGTCGGAACGTTTTAGGCAAACCGATAATCGGAAGGCACATAATTACACATGTACATGACTAACCCTATGCAGGTGAGAATCGCACCCTGGCATAATTCGCCGGCCCAACGGGCCAGAGGCGTGCTAAGATCTCCGGTGACTGCTTTACAATCTTTCTACTTCGCGCGCGCGGGGCGGCCCCTGGGGGCCCCCGGGCGGAAAGTACCCCGGCAAGGTCCCGAGAGAGTCCCGGGAGGAGTCACCAGGGCGCTCCAGCAGCGCACCAACGCGGCTCCGAGACGTCCCCGAGAGCCCCAAGAAGGGCCAAGAGGCTTCCAAGAGGCCCCCAAGATGCTACATGAGGGGTCCGAGATGCCACAAGATCGCTCCAAGACGCCCACGATGGCCCCCAGACGCCCCAAGAGGCCTCCAAGAGCACTCCCGAGAGGGCCCCAAGAGGCAAAATTCACTGCTTTTCCTTAGGTTTTGGAGAGATTTTGGCGTTTCCACCTTTTCGGCTTCACGACACCCCAAGACGGCCCAAGAGGCCCCCAAGACCGCCCCAAGAGGGCCCAAGAGGCCCCCAAGAGGGCCCCAAGACGGCCCAAGAGGGCTCCAAGACGGCCCAAGAGGCCTCCAAGACGGCCCAAGAGGGCCCCAAGAACGCCCCAAGAGGGACCCCAGGGGGGGAACACGAAACAATATTTCGAGCCCTCGGCCCTCAGAAGTCCCCAGGAGGCCCCAAGAGGCCCCTAAGAGGCCCCAAGAGGCCCCCAACAGGCCCTCAGGAGGCCCCCAAGAGGCCCCCAAGCGGCCCCAGGAGGCCACCCAAATGCCCCCCCGAGCACGCAAGCAAGTGCCAGCGACGCTACACTATGGGCCGGCGGAATGAGCGAAGCGATTGAATAAAGTTCGGGGTCCTGGGAGGATGCGATTTTGTTCCCGAAGAGTTCGATGTTTGGATGTCTGGATGGATCTTGAATGACCTCCAAGCTGATCTGGAGAAGCCTTCCCCTGGAGCCTCCTTGGAGGAGTTGGGTTTGCACGAATCCCGAAAACGAATCCTGAGCACGGTTGAGGAGAAGAGAAAACAATGAAGGAGGGGAGAAGGAGAATAATGAGGAAGAGGACGACGAGAAGAGTGAGGAGGAAGATGAGGAGATTTCAAGAGAAACGACATTCAAGGCTATGTTTGGTGGTATTCTACACGTCGTGTAGGAGTACGCATGGTTGCTTTGTGGGAGTGGTAACCAATGACGGCGATACACAAGTTCAGCTGGGGCGCGGAGGGAGAAAGAAGGAGAGGGAGAGGAGAAGGAGACAGAGAAGAGAACGAATAGGAGTACGAAGAGAACGAAATAAGAGAAGGAAGAGAAGGAGAGAAAGGTCATGAGAAGGATGAGCTGCTGGTCGCGAACTCAGGTAAACTTCGAAAACTTGCGCTTCGCTTGATACATCCTCCTCACGAAATTGATAAGGATTACTCATGGTGCCATGCATGGTATGAAGATCAGAGCGGCGATGCGAACTTTGGGGGTGATTAGACAGTTCGCCAACGTGCCTCCGCGCCTCTTGTGGCAATTTGAACTGAACCCACGTACACCACGTGGATAATCAGATGGAGGGGGTGAAGGGGGGGCACCTTTACTATCCAAGGCATGCGGTGAATCAATTCACTGGTCGCTCACACTCTTCGCTGCAAGTCCGCTTTTTCTGCTGGCTCCAGACAAGCTTCTCTCTGCGCACTGGCAAACCCTGTCCCTGCGCACTAACAATGTTGGGGCTGCGCCCGCAGCTGCGCCTCTGCCGAAAGCCTCACACCCGCCGCCCGCATCTCACACGCTTGCTGGCCGATCCGCGTTAACGTCACCATGCATGTGCTGGAGACTGTTACGCAGTTCGCTGTCCCCTGACCTGGCCCAGACTTCTGGCGACTCGAAAGGCTCGCGCCAAAATAGTGTTCGCAACTTGCTGCATTCAGAGGGCGTTCCCGATCTAGGGACGGTCAACAAAAAGACATAGGTGTTGTGAAACACTGGGTCCAGCGAAGGGGCAGGATCACTGATGAGTCAGCTGATATCGGGAAATCGGATCGACATGGGTCGGACCGGCTGGAATCCCACCAGCCCTTCGGGCGTGAGTGGTTTAGGGAGCTCTCTCTGTTCTCAACCCCCCTTCTTCCCCTTCGGGGAGGGGTTTACCCCTCCCCCTACCCCCTCCCCCTGGGCCTGGAGAGGGCGCCCCGCGGGTGGTTGGGGGGGTCTTTTTCGACTCCTGGGAGGGGTAAAATTCGACACCCCTCACGAGGATTCTGGCCCCGACGGGGGGGGGCAGAAAAATGCTCGCCCCAGCTGTGATCGATCGGCCGAAAGATGGCCCCAAGATATCTCCCAGACCCCCCCCCAAAGAGCCCCAAGAGGCCCCAAGAGGCCTCAAAGAGGCCCCCAAGATGCCCCCAAGAGGCCCCAAGAGGCTCCCCCGAGGCACCCAAGACGCTCCTGGAAGCCCCTGGGGCCGCCAAGAGGCCCCCAAGACGCCCCAAACGGCCTCCAAGAGGCTCCCAAGAGGCCCGAAGAGGCTCCCCCAAGGCACCCAAGACGCTCCTAGAAGCCCCTGGGGCCGCCAAGAGGCCCCCAAGACGCCCCAAAAGGCCTCCAAGAGGCCCGAACGACTCACACCACCAAGAGCCCGAACGACTCACACCAGAAGGAGGGGCCCGAACGACTCACACCAGGACGAGGCGCCCGAACGACTCACACAACGAGGAGCCCGAACGACTCACACCACGACGAGGGCCCCGAACGACTCACACCACGAGGAGCCCGAACGACTCACACCAGGAGGAGGGGCCCGAACGACTCACACCACGAAGAGCCCGAACGACTCACACCAGGAAGAAGGGCCCGAACGACTCACACCAGGACGAGAAACTCCAAACGACTCAAACCACGAGGAGCGCTTTCTCTCCCTCCTCCTCCGCCTCGTCCTTCTCCCGCTCCCACCACAAGGAGGATGTACAAGGAGGCGGGAGGAAGGAGGAACAGGGGAGATATGCGGGGGCAGGCGGACACACGCCTGAAAAACACGACTGTCGGCACGCTTCGCAAGAGTTGCTGTTTGGAGATGGGCTGGTGGGGATACGCGAAGCGTGAAGAATTGATATCGAATCGGATCGGTCGGATCGAAATGGACCCCGGGAAACGATCGATAACTCCAGGTGCCGGCAAGCCTACAACATCGAGTCGTCGGAGGTCTTTGGAGAACATACATAAGCATGTATACTTTTGGAGATCCGCCCGGATGTCGTGGGTCGGCGCTTGACCCTGGCCCTGTCGCGCGGAGCGCGCCTGGGGCGGCGCCGGAGGCGGCGCTGGAAGCGCCGCCAGGGGGGCCAAGCGCCAATCCAAGAAACCCGCGCGGAGTTCCAGAAGTTTCTGGTTATGCAATATTTCTTCTTCGAAGGTGTTTACCAAGAGTCTTGCCCCATTCCCCCCGCACGTAATGCTGGCTCCTCTGGGCTGGAGCAAGCCCGGGGCGAGGGGATCTCTTGAGCCGCCCGGCCTCGTCGCCCAGCTCCTCCATGATCTCGAAGTTCGTCCGCAGCAGCCTGTTCACAAACTCCGGGGGCCTCCTCGACCCGATCGGCACCTGAGGGGCAACGATAGGGGGATCAGCTTGGGAGGGGGGCAACATCGACCTGGAATCGGCGCTACATCGCCGCTGCATCGCCAACAGGTCCCCGTTAGCGAACCCGCACACTCCTCGGCGGGGTGGGCTATCGGGCACCTATCGGCGATGAATGGGCAAGTGGGAGTCGACGCATTCCCACCCCCCCTGAGCCTATCCCCTGCCTAACGTTGCCCCTGAGCACCATCATGGCCCGCTGGAACATCCATGAGGCCGACAGATTGGGAAGGTAGGCGTTCACTCGCGCGAGGTCCTCCCGCGACAAGGCGTCCGCCTCGAGGGCGTCGCCGATGGCAGCGCAGTACCGCTGCATGTGGCGCGAGAGGGCACCAAAGCCCCCGAAGCTCAGCGGCGACTGGATGCCCGATGCGTCCCCGATGGCGAGGATGCGGTTGGCCACCGGTGGCAGTGGCGAGTCTCGATGAGTGGGGAACAGACCGTAGAGCACGCGCTTCAGCTTGAGGCCCCCGCTCGCGACAGCCTCCTCCACGCTCTCCCCGCGAGCGAAAGCAGCGCAGTTGTGCTGCTGATATCTCGGGAGGAGGTCCCAATAATCCTCGAACATTGCCTCCACGCTGGCGCGCTCTGGGGCCGCGTCGAGGTACGTGAACATGTACGTCGTCCGGTCGGACGCGCCCGAACCGGCCGGAAAGGCCTCCCAATAATACTGCTTGCGTGGGGAGCCGAGTGGGTCCGCATCCTTGACGTCGCCAGTCCAGAGGCCGTCATTCGTGTATATCCACCACCGTGCCCTGAGGCAAGAGTTGGAGTGTCCTCAGGTACCTTGGAGTTCTCTGTCCTCAGTCCTGGGTGAATGGACAGTAAGAGGCATTCAAGAGGCATTTGACAAAGCATCCAACAGGAATTTGACAAACAGCCAAGGCGCGGTGGCGGGATCAGCCGAAAACAACTGGCGCCGCCCCCTGTTGGCTTGCTGCAGAGCTGCACGGCGTGCCGAATGCTGGGTCGTTATCGTTTCAGAATGTTCCAATAGGGTCTCGGCCGATCGCGCTAGTCAACCGGAAAACTCTGGGCGGCCCGGGCAACCATGAACAAACTTGCCAAAATTGTTCAGGAGACCTCAGAGACGCCAGCCATACGCCTAAGATGACCCAGAACAAAAAACACCTATGGTCTCAAGATGTCTCCAACATGTCCCCAAAGTGAACCGAAGATGGCACAAGATGGCCGCATGATGGCCCAACACGGCCCAAGATGCCCCAAAGAGCTCTCCAAGACGGCCCAAGAGGCCTCCAAGAATTCGTCCAGGAAGCCACTTCCCGTTGGTTGTTCAATGATTTTCACGGTCTCGCCTTTTCGGGCTTCCAACGCTCCAAGACGGACAGACCCATAGGCCCGTAAGATTACCCCAAGACGGCGGCCAAATGGCCCAAGAGGGCCCCAAGACGGCTCCCTCAACACGGTCTTGAAGCGCCCACAGAGACCCACGACTGAACAGAGAGGGCCCCAAGACGGCCCACGAAGCCCAAGAGGTCTTTAAGAGGCTCCCAGAGGCTCTCTAAGAGGCCCCCGAGAGGCCCTTCAGAGGCCCCAAAGAGTCTCCCAGGAAGCCCCGAGAACCCCAGAAGGCATCAAGAGGCTTCCTCTTCCACGTCCTCCTCCTCCTTCTCCGCCCTCTCCTCCTCCTTTCTCTTCCCCTCCCATCCCGAGTGTTCCCCAAATGGGGTTCCCCAACGGCTGGACACACACACACAGTCCAATAGCTTGACCAGACTTCAGCGCAACGCTTGGCTGCATGAACGTTTTAACATCGGGGGGTTGCGGTGCTTCACCATAGGCGTCTTCGATCAGGTCGGCGTAGCTGTTGTCCATCTCGAACCCCTCCGCCAAGCTGCCCACCACGATGCACACGCCGCTCGGTGCCGTGCCCGCGCCGCGAGCCGCGCGGCTGATGGGCGAGGCATTCCCCATGCAGTCCACGACCAGCCTGGCCGACACGGCCTCGTCGCCCAGGAGCACGCGCGCCCCGTCAGGCCGCACTTCCACGCCTAGAGGAACAAACACCTGCATTATACATAAAGTTTCGGAGCTCCGCGCGGGTTTCTCGAATCGGCGCCGCTCCTGGCGTGTTACGCGCGCTAGACAAGGGGGGGGCAGCGCCGATCCGAGAATCCCGCGCGGAGATGCGAAAGTTGATGATTGTGTAGTGTTGTTCCTTCCCTTTACAGGCCTTCTAAATGGGATCCGAGCAGGTGCGGTCGGAGGATCGCGCTGCATCGGCGATGCATCATCGGCGATGCATCATCGGCGATGCATCGGCGATTCACTAGCGCCGACGGCTTGGAGAAAACCAACTCCACACTGACCCGCATCGCAGATGCATCGGCGATGCCGCACGATCCTCCGACCCCACCTATGAGGACCGAACAACCCGCCCCCACCCCCAGCCAGGACCCCTACTCCCGACCTGGTGATCCAGAGGGCTCTGGCTGTGAGTGCGGGGGATTCTGGGCCCCAAGAGGCCACCCGAAAATACCCCACACCCCTTCTAGAACCCTCTGAATCACCAGGTCGGGAGTGGGGGTCCTGGCTAGGGGTGAAGGTGGGTTGTGCTGTCCTCAACCTACAGTCAAAACTGATAGTAAGGATCCGCTATAGGGATGGAAGGGCTTTGGACGCGCATGTCGAAGCTTCTCGAGCGGGGCTGGCCATCGAAAGCAATCAAGGATGGACCGAAGGCAAAGGATGCAAGGGAAACCTTTGAAAATCGCTCAACTTATATCAGCGCTGACCGTACTCCGATCCCATCTGGGAGGCCTGCACTTGAACGCCTCCCGCGGTGACCCCCTCAAGCACGCGCCCCCCGAGCGCCTCGAAGCGCCGGCGTGCCCGGGCCACGGCCACCGCCGGCCGAACGCCCAGGTGCAGCACGCCGTTCAGCCACACCTGGAGGAATGAAAAATTAGCCTGGCGAAAGACCCAACCATATGCAGTTGCGAGTACCGCATTGTGGGTACCAGTTCCGGTGAAGCTCCCTATGGGGCCACGAAACGTGTGAGGCGTGCGCCGAAATCGGTGGCGCGGACGCATGTGGACACCGCCACCGGGGCCTTCGGTGGAGCTCCATGATGGGGCCACGAAGCGCTGTCCTGGATGGGGGAGACGCATGCGAACTGCGCCATTGGGACCTTCGGCGGAGCTCCTTATGGGGCCACGAAGCACTGTCATGGATGAGGGAGACGCATGCGAACTGCGCCATTGGGACCTTCGGCGGAGCTCCCTGTGGGGCCGCGAAGTTCTGTCCTGGGTGGGGGACACGTATACGAACGGCGCGGCCGCGAAACGCTGTCCTGAATGGCGGTGGCACATGCGGATCCAGCCACTGGAGCCTTCGGTTGGGTTCCCTGTGGGGTCACGAAACGCTGTCCTCGGTGGGGGAAGCGCATGCGAACGGTGCCACTGGAGTTTTCGGTGGAGCTCCCTATGGGGCCCCGAAACGTTCTCCTGGGTGGCGTTGACGCATGCGGCCTGTGCCAGTGGAGCCTTCGGTGGAGCTCCCGACGGGGGCCGCGAAACGCTCTCCTGGGTGGCGTTGACGTATGCGACCTGTGCCACTGCGGCCTTCGGTGGAGCGCCCTATGAGGCGAAGCGCTGTCATGGGTGGCGGTAACACATGCGAGCGGTGCCACTGGGGCCTTCGGTGGAGTTCCCTATGGGGCCACGAACCGTGTGAGTGGTATGCCTAAGTGGGTGGCGGTGACGCATGCGGACCGTGCCACTGGAACCTCCCCTATGGGGCCACGCAGCGGTGTCCTGGGTGGCGTTGACGCATGTGGACCCTGCCACTGGACCCTTCGGTGGCGACCCCTTTGGGGCCTCGAAACGCTCTCCTGGGCGGCGTTGACACATGCGGACTCTGCCACTGGAGCCGTCGGTGGAGCTCCCTGTGGGGCCACGAAACGCTGTCCTGGATGCCGGTGACGCATGCGGCCCGTACCAATGGGGCTTCTGTGGAACTTCCGATGTGGCCACGAAGAGCTTTCCTGGGTGACGTTGACGCATGCGGCCTGTGCCACTGGAGTCTTCGGTGGAGTCCATTATGGGGCGGCGAAACGTTGTCCTGGGTGGCGTTGGCGCACGCGGCCTGTGCAACTTGAGCCTGCGGTGGAGCTCCCGACGGGGGCTGCGAAACTCTTTCCCGGGTGGCGTTGACGCGCGCGGCCCGTGCCACTGGAGCCTTCGGTGGAGCTCCCTATGGGGCCGCGAAGCGCTGTCCTGGGTGGCGTTGACGCACGCGGCCTGTGCCACTGGAGCCTTCCGTGGAACTCCTGACGGGGGCCGCGAAACGCTCTCCTGGGTGGCGTTGGCGCAGGCGGCCTGTGCCACTGGAGCCTTCGGTGGAGCTCCATTACGGGGCCACGAAGCGCTGTCCTGGGAGGCGTTGGCGCATGCGGTTTGTGCCACTGGGGCCTTCGGTGGAACTCCCGATGGGGCCACGAAGCGCTGTCCTGGGTGGCGTTGACGCATGCGGCCCGTACCACCGGAGCCTTAAGTGGAATTCCCATGGGTCTTCGAAGTGCTGTCTTGGGTGGCGTTGACGCGTGCGGCCTGTGCCAGTGGAGCCTTCGGAGGAACTCCCGGCGGGGGCCGCGAAACGCTTTCCTGGGTGGCGTTGGCCAATGCGGCCTGTGTCAATGGGGCCTTCGGTGGACCTCCATATGGGGCCGCGAAACGTTGTCCTGGGTGGCGTTGGCGCACGCGGCCTGTGCAACTTGAGCCTGCGGTGGAGCTCCCGACGGGGGCTGCGAAACTCTCTCCCGGGTGGCGTTGACGCGCGCGGCCCGTGCCACTGGAGCCTTCGGTGGAGCTCCCTATGGGGCCGCGAAAACGCGCGAGGGGTGCGCCGACACGATGAACATGCGGAGAGCAGAGGCAAGGAGAGGGAGGAGCGGGGACGGGGGCAGCGGGAGGAGGATCCGATCCGACACCTATCGGGGCCACCATCCAACTTCAGGAATGAGAGCGCCCTAGGAGCGACCTGACGACCGCGGAATTCAGACCCCTGGTCTGCCCACTGCTCACGGAATCTTCAAAAACCAAGCATCGACTGACAACCTACCCTTGGCAATTCAATAGTCGGGCAACTGCGCCCGCCACCGAACTGCCGAAACCACTGTTGCGAAAGGCTCGGACGGCTTGCGGCTCGATCCGAGCACGTTTTTCCGTCGGGGGGGAGATCAGAAGGACGGGGGGCGCTGGCCTGACGGGCGGCGGCAGCAGCGCGGTCAGGCCTGGGGCGCGACGCACCCGGGACCGACGATGCCCTGCGCAACGAACTCTTCGCTGGCGATCGGGGTCGCGCCGAAGGCCGCCCAGCGCGACATGCAGTTCTCTCCGAAGTCGCCAACCTCGAACCTCTCGGGCCAGAGGTCGCCGCCATGCGAGACGGAAAGGGAATGGGGGGCTTGCGCGCGCTGCTCGCCACCGACATACTCCGACCGTTCAACTCGCTCTCGCGACTACGCGAGCTCTGCACCCACATGTCAGACGACTCCACCATGGCACCCTCCTCCAGTAACGTCTGCTGCGCTCTCTCTAGGTGGCCCATCGGGGCCGCGCCGGTCCTCGCGAACCACAGCTGCGCCAAGCAGTCTACGAGCGCGCCTGGAGACTCGGTCTGCGTCATCAGGGTCTTGCAGCCCCCCTCCTCGCGCGCAGCCTTCTCCTTCACGAACGGGTTGAGCAGTCCGACCTCCGCGATCGACATGGCATTCAGCTCGTTCTTCCGCGCCGTCTGCTTCTGCGCGCTGGACGGACTGACCGCCGCGCCCATGGGCGCCGCGCCCTCGACGAGACCCACCAGCGCCGCCGCGCTGATGGAGCCGAGCTTATCCGCGCCCTCGTGCTTGCCGCGCGGCTGCGCAGGCCCTGCGCCGCCTCGGCCCAGCCCTTGGCCCGCGCGCGGGCCGACGTGACTGGAGCTGCCGACTTTGGACCTACCAGCGCGACCATGGCGATCGCCTTCCGCTGCCGAGTGCGCAGCGACAAGTTCATGGCCATCGTCATCATGACAGGTGCGACCTTGCGAATGCTATCTAGCTCGAACATTTTTACTGACTCGATCTCCTTTGGCGACGCCGTGCGATTGCTGGTCCTCTGGGCGCTCTTCTTCATGCCTCCTCGTCATCCGTCTGCGCCTGCAGCCTGTGCCCGCGCGCGCTTCCCCGCGCTCGGGGCGGCGGCAGTGGCCGGCGAAGCCGCGGCAGGGGCCGCCGAGAACATGCCGCGCAGACTCAAGAAGAGGGAGCGGCAGTCGCTGCACAAGGCGTCGCTGCAACTGCCCGAAGGCCTCAAACGGCCCAGCACGCTCAGGGCACGTCCGCATGTCCGGGTCGATCAGGGGGGGGGGGGGGGGGGGGGGGGCATACTTCGAGCTGTCCACGCAGCACCTGCCATGCTGATGTGCGGTCACAAAGTGTCTCACAGCTGTGTCACGACATCGAAACGCACTCGAGGAAGCAATGCGTTGGCTCTTGACAGTGAGTTCGGCAGCAGGGAAACAAGACCATGTTGGCCACTGGTGCCCTGACGCTGACGCGCCAGTAGGGCTCGCCTCGCATGAAGCCGACGCTCGCACGCGACACCCATCCCCATCCACTAGTGCGCAACTGCCACCGCCATCAACTGACCCACCAGGTTCAGGAACGGGGACCTCGGTCACACTGGCTCGAAGGTGACATTCAGCACGAAACTGTTGCATATCGATGTTCTGAAAGGCCTCGAGCCCCAACGCGTTGTCCCTGAACGCGTTCAGAAGATCCCTCTTCCATCGCCTCCACCACCGCCCCTCCCCCCCTCCTCCGCGATCCTCACGTAGGACACATCCGAGAAGAACGGCCGGGCCCACGGGGCGCTGCGGGGGGCCCCGCGCGGGCGCTTCAAGGAGCCCGGAAACCGCGAAAAAACTGGGCGAGACCTCATCTTCACGCGCGAGCTCGCCACACACCGCTGTGAACTGGAGTTCGCGATATCCAGGCGACCGCGCAATTTTTCGCCACTCCTTCAGCCTCTGCGCGCGCAACTCCAGCGCCGTCGGCGCGATCCCCGCCGGCCGCCAGATCCGCGCAGCTGGCGGCGCACAAAATGCGACAGTCTCGCGGCCATCCTCGTCGACGCACTGCGCCTTCTGACCAAGTCCGCCGAGCAGCGCGCCGAGGTGCTTGAAGCGCGCGGACCCCAAACGCGCCCCCTGAGACCTCGAGAGCATCAGAGCCGCATGCCCGCGCAGGGCCGCCCCTATGACGTTGCTCCCGAACACCATCTTCGTCGCCTTCCAGAAGCACATTGGGTCCAGAGGCGCCTCAGATCAGCCTATCCCCTAGACGTAGCCGAACGCCTAGCCGAGACCTCAGAGGCCCACGAACCGCCCGGAGTAAACGGGGCGCCGACGAAGGGGGCCACAGGCGGCACAAGTCCAGGGAGACGCTCAGAACACTTGGCCAGGAAGACATACTTGGTTAACCTGGTCGCCCCTGGGCCCGCGAAATGCGGGGCGGCCTGTTCCCCCCCCTCGCTCTGATAGGTTCCGCGCTGTTGCGCGCGTCGATTGAGGCGACTGTCGGAGGAGGCCGTCGCGCGCGCCGCATCATCATGGATCCTCGACGACGTGCGTCTTATTCACGTAATCCGTAAACGCGCGCAGCGAGCGGTCGCACTCCGCGCCCGCGATCGGGCTCGCGTCGCACGGGCCGCCGGCGCGAACGGCGCGCTGACCCCGGGGCCATGCCCGAATCGGAGGAGCGAGCGCCTCCTGAAACACCGCGGCAGCATTGGCGCCCCCCCACGCAATTCGCCCCCTGTTCAAAAAAGAAGAGAAAAAACAAAAAACGCCCCCGCGTCCGCCCGGGCACTGGGGCGCGCGCGCCGGCGCCTCTGACAGAGGATCTCGGTGTCAGGTCGCGACAGCCTGATCAAGTGAGACACGTTGGACAGAACCGAATGCATTGCGAATGTCGTCTGTCGCGTCTCTCGCAGGTAGCCTCGCCCTCTGAGCCCCCCAGGAAACCGCCGCAGTAGCGCGGGGCGCCCCCGCGGGAGACCTCCTCGAAAGACACTCGCAGTCATAAGCCGGAACCAAACGCGGCATCCGACGGGCCGTCTCGACCCGCATCTCCCCGCGCGAACAGAGCCCGCGACGCAGACGAGCCCCCTGAGTTCCAAGCTACCAGCCCCCCATGTGGTCGAATTTTCATAAATATAAAACGCGCCCAGCCCCCGAACATCTCCCCGAGCCCTCCAGGAGGCCCTGCGCCGAGACCAGGGGCACGTCCCCGAACATCAGGCCACTTAGATAGCAGCAAAGACCACACTACACTAGGAGCGCTCCAGGAACCAGCAGCCCGACGTCTCCGAGCCACGCTAAAACCACCTGCAATGCGCTGCAGATCCACCGCAACAAGACCAGCATCAACAGTGACGGGTGGCAGCTCGCGATCACCCGCTGACACCCGCGACGAAAGTGGCCTTCATCTATCTGCGTAGCCGCCATCCCTACAGAACTGCGCGGCATGGCATGGCCAGTTCCTCCACCCACTCCTCCATCGACGGCGCGCGCAGCGATCGATCCGAACCGACGTCGACGAGGTCCGACACCGCCACCAGCCGTCAGCCGACATGTCCTCCACTCCTCCGAAGCCCATCCTTTCGCCTGCGCTTTCTCCGGCCCCTCCGCCAGTTGAGCTCCCCGTCGTTCAAGAACCCGACGGCGAAGTTCACGGCGCCGACGCGTGGCGCGAGCTGGACATAACGTAGACTCGTTCGCGTCCGTCATCATCCCCCTAGCTCTCTAGCGCGCTTGCAGGGCTTGCTCTTTTTTTTTTCGCGCAAGAAGCTGATGCGCTTTGGGGGGGCCCAAGGGGTCGCCTCTGAGAGTTCCAAGCCCGCAGACTGCACGACCTGCGCTAGATGCGCCCTGGACAAACTCACACACGTGTTTGGCGCCCCGCTCTCGAAGTAACTCCCCGATAGCATAATCCATTCGTCCCCTGCGTTCGTCCGCGAAGCGTTCAGATCTCAGAGCATGCCCCAGACCTATAAATTCCCACGTTGTCCGCGGAAACGAAGGGCGGTGCGTCGACCAGAGGGGCGATCCTTGACGTGATCTCTCGGGCGGATACCTGGGGTCACCTGCGACTTCCTGGATGAGCGCGTCGCGTGAAGGACGGCAAAAGAACGTGATCAATCGACGGTGCACGTTGGCGCTCATGTAGACCTGGCACACCAGGACAGTCACCTTCAGGTGGTATATGGCGTCCACCTCCGAAGCACGACGGGCCACCAGGAATGAGCGCGCTCGCCACCGCCAGGTCGCGCGCCTCGCCAAGTTCTCGAAACAATTGACCTGCGAGGCGCCCTTCGCCCCTGCCACGCGGGCCGACGACGCTCGAATATGCGTCCGCAGCCCCGCGCTGGCCCATGCAGCGCCCGACGCCATCGTTCGCATCCGCAGCTGCAGTCGGGGCCGCACGCGAGGGAAGTGGCACCAACACATTCGCGGCGAAGTTGTTTATCTTGTCGGTGGTGGCGCGCAATCGAGGTCGCTCTCTAGGGCCCTTGCTGCGAGGTGGTAAATACAAGCCCGCGCGCGTCACATCTCCGTGGTATGACTCGACGCGAATTGCCGCCGCTCGCCCACGGATGCCCGATGGGGCTGTCCACATTCTGACTACATCACGCGCGTTCACCGTATGTTTGTTTAGATGGAAGCTGATACCACCATTAGAATACGGGCACTGGGCTTTACCATGGTATCCGCAATGCTCTGCTTGAACTGGGTGGACACATTCAACTACATATGGGATATCAAAGCATTTCCGTCGACTAGCGATCGAAATGATAACATTAATTGTTTGAACGCAAAGCCGGTTTCAAGCTGCATGTCACGATCCGACATCGAGAAGAGGCTCCAACATACAATTTGCATCTGCACATCACTCGGTGTCTTCACCACGTCATACACAGGGTAACACACTCGTCCAAAAACCGCACACCTCCAGCTCAATGGATACCCTCAATCAACAGCGATAACCAAATAATATCGCAATGTGCAATGGAAGGGAAGTAAATGTGCAGCTGGAGAAGGCTCGGGGCCTACGCCTCCAGGTCGGGGGCGCCTTGCCCCAGCCGAATGTGGCGCAACCGCAAAACATCACGTTCCTGAGCCGCGCGGCTGCGGGAAAAGGAGGAGGAGGAGGAGGAGGAGGAGGAGGAGGAGGAGTGACGCGGGGCGCTGTCTATTCAAAACGAAGACCCAACACCACAGGATGGTTGGGAAGTACATGAACATAACAATCGATTTCGGATGGAGAGGACACGCGAGAGGACGCAATACCCTTCTGAAGGCCACGTTGTCATAGGAATGCGTAATTAGGGCAGAGGTCCCGAAACAAAGAACGCAAGGGTACGTACTCTTGATTTGGGCCGGTCGATCTACTAGTCAAAACTCCACTGATTTTCTTCGAGGTCCGCGCGGATCTCTTGGATCGGCGCTGGGCCACCCTCCCTGGCGCTCGAACCAAGCCAGTGGCGGCGCGAGGCGTCGCCAGAGGGGCTCAGCGCCAATCCAAGACATCCGTGCGGACCTCCGAGGAATCATGCTTGTGCCGCTTTCTGTTCCTCGAGTGCCTCCTGCAGGCGGGGGTCACCACCACCGGAAGGCCCGAACTCTGCCGGGTTGAAACCCGCTCTCACCTCGCGGGCGAAGAAGATATCCGTATCCGCGGCCTCGCAGGCCGGGCTCCTTGGGCGCTAACCCGCGGCTGCGGGGCGTTTTTTCGCGGATGCCCAGCGCGGAACGTATCCGCGCGACTGCGTATCCGCGTGATCGCGCCCCGGAATCCAGACCGCGAGGGCGCGGATGCGAATATGTTTGCTGCCCGCCCTCACGGAGCCGAAGTTCGCCGCCACCAGCGCGTCGGGCCCGCTCCGCGCCACGTGCCCCGCCGGGGGGTCCTCCAGGGCGCCGTCGAGGTCCTCGGGCGCCAGCGCCCCAGCCTCTTCGGAGCAGGGGGCGCAAGACGGGGCCAGGGCAGTTCTGCGGAAACTCGTGGGAGCCACCTGTGCCATCTTGGTGGCCCTTGCGAATCGACGCTGATCGACGCTGGATCGACGCTACTTACATCGACGCCAAATCGACGCTGATCGACGCTAAATCGTAGCTAGCATAGCGATTACCATACGCTAATCGACGCTGATCGACGCCGAGGGCAATGTGGCAGGAGGAATGCGGGGCCGACCGCGGGAGGCGCCGCAGCAGTAGCCGCAGCCGCGACCGAGGCCGCAGGACCGAGCGCGACGCCGGCATCTACTGGGACTGGGACCAGCGGCGCAGCAAGAGCCGAGACCGCCGCGAGCGAGACAGGCGCGGCGACCCCGGACGGAGGCCAGAGGGCGAGGAGAACTGAGCGGCCTCTGGGCGCCCGCCGGCCTGCGCGGGGCAATTTCGTGATCAGAGATGCACTCTGAAGACGGAATTGCGACGGGATACAAGGCTCCCAGGATTTGCTACCGAAGGGCAGGGCCAAAATCGGACCAGGATACAGGGCTCGAGCTAAACGGTGTGTTTCGTTTTCCTTTTGTGTTCGTTGTCCTTCGTTCTGTCTTCGCCCCGCCATTGCTGCAAAACGAAATCCGCCGACCCCCGCTTGCCGGTGATGAGAAGGTGTGTGAGATGATTAGCTGTCCCGCTCCCCTTTCCCCCTCCCCGAGGGTCCAAAATCTCGTTCGACGGGGGGGGAAGATCCGGGCTCGCTGGCGCACACATGGAGACTCCGGAGCTTCCAAATCTGCCGTCTGTGGCCTCAAAGACGTTCCAAAGTGGTCCCACATCGCTGAACGATTGGCCCAAGACGCTTATGGCTCCAAGACGCCCCAAGACGCCTTCGAGACGCCCCACGAGCCTTCCCAAGAGGGCCATGCGAGGCAAAAATCAATTGTTTTCCTTTGGTTTTTGAAGGATTGGGAACCCTGACACTGGGGCATTCGGTAGACTCCATATGAAGCCACGAACAGTGCGCGGTGGCCGGGGAACCGCATGCGAACCCTGCTGCTGGGGCCTTCAATGGAACTCCCTATGGGGCCACGAACCGTGTGAGGGGTGAGCCGAAATGGACCTGGGGTGGGCGGGGAACCGCATGCGAACCCTGCTGCTGGGGCATTCGGTGGAGCTCCCTATGGAGCCACGAACCGTGTGAGAGGTGTACTGAAATGGACGCGCGGTGGGCGGGGAACCGCATGCGAATACTTAGGAGGCCAACAAGCATACACCGACACCGTTTGTCAGAAAACCGTCGAAGAAAAGATCGCGTGGGCGCCCCCCACACGCGTCGCCACAGAAGCTCTGTTTCCTCGCTTGTTTGACGCGCGAAATCGGCGCATGCGCGTGGCAATCGTGTCGCTCCCAATACAGCTTACCCCACCGAGAAAACGGCCGCGGAAACATTCGACGCGATTCTTTCCAGTGCCCTCTCGGGGGCATCTTGGGGGCTCCAACAAAGCCCCAGCGGCGCCCAGGAGGGCCCCAGGAGAGCCACGAGAAGGTTCCAAACGGGGCCCCAATGAGCCCCTGGTCCAGCTCCACAGCGTGGAGTTCGAAACGATACCCTCAAGTGCCCCTTGGAAGCCACTCGGAGCTTCCCAAACGAGCCCGGGAAACCCCAGGCCCCAAGAAAGCCACAAGAGGGGTCCAGTAGGGGTCTCGGTGAGCCACTGGTCCAACTCCACGGCATGGAGTTCGAAGCGATCACTTGCATCGCCTTCTGTGGCGCCTCGTGGGGCCCCAAAGACAACCCCAGAGGGCCCCATGAGCGCACCGTGGGGCCCCTAAGACGGCCCTAGGGGGCCCCACGAAAGCCCTCTCAGCGCCGCGAGAGGGTTCCATTAGTAACCACCCGATTATTATCCCATCCAGGGTACCCTGCTTCGCTCATGCATGACAGGCCGTTTTTGCTACATCCCCCCTCGTGCACGAGGGGACCGCTGTTGCTACAAGTCCGCCTAACAGGCATTTCTGCTACAATCCCCCCTCACGCACGAGGGCGGTGCCTCCGCTTCAACGCCCTCTCACGCACAAAGGAATGGTATTGCGACAGTCTCCCTTCATGCACATACAAGGCCATGCTGCTAAAAGAACACCATGCACGAACGAACCGTTGTTACTGCAATCCCGCCCAACGTACGAACAGCTGTTGTTGCTAACCTCCTGATTCACGACGGACGGTGCTTGCTTCAACTTAGTACGCCATGCACGAGGAAAGGTCTTTACTACACTCCCGCTCGTGTACAAATCACAACGTTGCTACAAACAACTCGTGATAGAGAAGACAAATTCACTACACACGCACCCTCACGTACGAAGGTTTACTTTTGCCGCTCCCCTAACCGTGAACGAGAGGCAATTTTTCCTGCAGCCCCCTTACGACGAAGAGACAGTTTTTGTCACAATCCCCCTCATGCGCGGCTAACCTTTTTTGTTACAACTTCCCCCCAATCATGCACGAACAAAACACTTTCGCTGGAATCTTCCCCCATTGCAGACCCGATGTTGCGATGAGGGGTCTGGGTGCGATGATAACCGCGAGGTTGTCGTTGTCAGCAATGACGGAAATATATCAGCAATATATCAGCAATGATAGGCGATGGTAAGTTGCTTAGCGGCACCTGCAGTGGTGTCTGCCGATACGCCCAAGCTCAAGGGCCCTTAAAGGATTGAGCCCAAAAGGTTACGAAAGGACGCGTTGCATTCCGTCTGAATATAGCACATTCTGCTTGCTTGCTGGCACGCTATGCTACGCTGCTTACATATCAGCACTGACACTATTTATTTCACACTCGTGCAAAATTCTTCTGATCTGTGCATCTACCGATATAGCGCATTTAAACGTGGTAATGGCACGTCAACGAGCTAAAATGAGACCAGGCGCACCGCGCGCTTGAAAAGTGAGCCGGCACTGGTCAAGTGTGCCTCATGCTCTCTGGCCTGGTCAGCCGGCTCTTGATGCTGCAAAGCGAGGCGCGTGTCTCGCAGCACTGCCCTGATGGCACTGCCGTCCGATCGCTTGGTGAACTGATCACCTAGCTGTTGATCAGTCGGAACCCAAAGGAGAGGTAGCTGGCTGCGCTGATCGTCAGCGACGAACTCGTTTCTAACTTCCTCTTCTAATGACTCCTTGAGGCCCACTAGGTCGAGCAAAAGGCGCCGCTCTGACGGGGGCTTGGGATCGCCGTCTTTGTGCATCGTATCGCACAAGCTGGCGCAATCTGGGACCTGAGCGAGCGGCAACAGACTCGGCGGGATGTCCTCTGGATGGGCATCCGGAATCTCGAGCGAAGCGAAAACACAGCGTGTAATCTGAGCACAGCCTAGAGCGTCTACTGCCGACATCGTCTCGGCTGCCGACGTAGACCTGCAAACTCTCTTGATGGTTCCCGATCTGCGAGCGAATCTTGATCTTCTTGTCCTTGCTGGTTGCTCCCGCGGTCTTCGCGAGCAACTTGGAGATGGCGCCTTCAGCTGGCTCATCAGCGTTGGCCCAACTGGCGTCGTGGAGCGTCACCAGGCACATAGCTCCACGTAGCTTAGGGAACTCCAAACCCACGTCCGCGTGCTTCCGCGCCAGCTTGATGAGCCTGTTCGTCTCGAGCAAGTCCTGGCTGGTGGGCTTGTTCTGGGTTCGAGGCCCCATGGCCACTCCAGCTGCCAGGTCGGGACGAGTCTGCGATGAAAGCCGCCCGAGTGCTCCGAGTGCGGAGCGGTTGTCCGAGAACTCAGCTGGCGTAGCATCTGACGACAGTTCCGTCTTGCGCTCCTTGCTGAGCGGAATCTCCTCGATGGTGTTCGCGTACTCGGTCTGCCGTAGATGTAGCACTCCTTCTTGATCTCGCCAGGCCTGCTTGCCGCAAAAGGTAAAAGGCAAGCCTCGCCAGTCGCCCCAGGGCAACAGCTTGTGAAGCCTGTCGTAGAGGCCCGGGTACTTGCGCGAGATCCCCAGCAGCAAGTCGTCCACGTGGGCGACCACCACCGCACAGAGCTCCCCGTGCTGGTCCGTAGTACAGCGCTGGGTCCAGCGAGTGCTGGTGTAGGCGAAACACGTAGTTGTCGCTCAGCTTCTCCTCCACCGCGAACAAGGTCCTCTTGAGCTTCGCCCACCACTGTCTCGGTGCCGTCGCCAGCCCGAAAACTCCCCTGAGGATTTTGATCAGCTGCTTCGGGTTGAGCCCAAGCAGACCTTCGCGAGGCTGGGCCATGTACAGCTGCTGGTCGGGCTGCTCGTCGCCTTGCATGAAAGCCGCCTCCACGTCCGCCGCGTAGATCTCCAGGTCGAACCTCTGGCAGATGGTGAAGAACAGCATGGTCGAGTTGCGGGTGACCGTGGGCGCGTCTGTCCGCAGGTCGCCCTGAGCGAGGCGCGGGTCCATGTGACCCCCGACGCAGAGTCGGGCCTTCGCCTTGACCGGCAGCGGATGCTTGTCGGTCCGCAGCGGGGCGCCCGTGTCCCGGTACACGAACCGGCTGGGCAGGATGAGGCTGGGCTTGATCATGCCCCTGATCGCCTCGGACTCCTCGATGGAGAGTACCTGACAAGAGCCATACTTCTGCCACTCGCTCCACTGCTTGGCGGCCGCCTCCCTGAAGAGCTCCCGATCGGAGTCCTTGATGGCCCTCCAATGGATCTCCTTGTCGGCCTGCTTGCGCCTGATCCTCTCGGTCACGATGGAGGTTTGCAACACTTGTCTTGGAGCCGACCTCGAACGTTGGCGGGCTCCTTCTGCTTCGGGTCCGGCTGCTGCCTCTTGATCGGGCGCCGCCGCGCGGTCGCGCGAAGTTGCCTTTGCTGGCAGGGCGCCAGAGCCTGCGTGCTCCCTCTCGGTCTGGAGGCGCTGGAAGGCCGGGCCGAAGTCGCCGCTGTCCTCTCCGTCGAAGGTAGCTCGACGTCGTCGGAACTCGTCAGGGCCGTAGGTTCGCTCTTCTTCAGCTTGCTGCGGCACGTCGGCGGGCAGCACCTGGATCTGCTCCTGCTGGGGCGGATCCTCGGAGACGTTCAGCCTGAGGTCGCTGTCGTCCGGGTTGTCGATCAATTCCCGCCACGCCTGCTCCATCTCGTCTGGCTTGACCTCGGGCTCGCCAGGCGCCGGGCGGATGTCCTCCACCGGAGCCTCTTCCTGTTCGAGCGAGTCGCGAGCCTGGTTGAGCTCGGCCACGGCCTGACCGATCTCGCCCCTGCCGTTCGGGAACCAGACGTCGTCCGGAGCGAGTGCCTTGATGTGCTCCGGGGCCACCAGCATGGTGTGCCCTCCTAGCGAGACCCAGGTGTTCTCGCCTTGGTGGCCGATGACTACGCACGGCCCACGCCAGATGCCCTTCTTGGCGTTGCGGTTGTGCTGCTCCCGCTGCTCCTTCTTCTTGACCTGGCGGAAGACGTAGCACATCTCGCCCACTGACAAGGGCGTCGCCACCGTGCGCGCGCGAGCCAACATAGCTCGCCGGAGCTGGTCGTCGTTCTGCATCCTCATGAACGACTCGCGCGCCGCCGTCCGAATAGCATATCGTCGGCGAATCTTCTCGTCGTTGGTCGCGAGGCTGTGGGCGCTGTAGTTGGCCGTATCGTCCACTAGGTCTCCCGGCATCTTGGGGTCGCGACCCAGCACCCACTGCGCGGGGCTGAAGCCTGCTCGCCTTCTCAGCGAGTTCTTCGCGCCCGAGACCATGATGGCCAGCGTCCGCATCTCGTCCTCGCCCCTGATCGACGAGTGCTCGATCGTCCTCGCCGCGAGCTCCTTCCACCAAGCTCCCTGGCGTTCCACGCGACCGTGCTGCCAATGTGCATGACCGGCGATGGGCAGCTGCACCGTGTTGAATGACTGGAACAGCTCGCTGAAGGCGCCGCCGAACCCCTTCTCCATGTCGAAGTGGACTCGGTCCGGCACGCCCGCCCAGGAGGCCCACCACCTCTCGAACGCGGCGGCGAACTCCTGGCTGGTGTGGCGACCGATCAGCATCGCGACGTGGAAGGTGGTAGCCAGGTCGACGATACTGAAGTACCAGTAGCTCTTGCCGTCGACGTCCTTGAGCTCGAAACAGTCGAAGCCGACGTTGTCTCCAAAATCTTGCACGAAGTGGAGGCGCGCTGGTTCCCTCGCGCTCGGGCGCTGCTGCGAGCGGCACACCCCGCAGATCAGCCCATGGACTGCCTGGACGGTGGCCGACTTAGCGCCTTTGATTCGCAAGCTGCGTCCCAAATCTTCATTAGACTGATGGCCCAAGTTGACATGGAGTCTCTTGAGCATGGCCAGCTCGGCTGGCTTGCAGCAGGCTGCTGCTGTCTTTGTGAAGGTAATCGCGCCGACCCCGATCCTGCCGTCCACAATATCTTCGGCCCGCGCGTCGTGAGTGTCGGCAAAGTCGTCTCCGCCGCCCATGGGGCCTGGGCCCCCATCAGGCTCGCCCGTTTCTCCCAGGGGCGCGGTGTCGTTCACGTAGGCGGTGGCCTGCTTCCTGGGCACTGTCACGATGAAGGGCGACGAGTGCGACTGGCAGTCCACCTGGTAGGCGCGCTGCCCACCTTGCTGGCGAATAACTTGCTCCACGATGCGTACCACCGCTCGGCAGAACTTAGCAGGATAAACGCCAGACTTGCGCACCGCCACGTTGTCCCCGAAGGTCTGGTCGTGGTGCTTGTGGCCGCAGGTGCGCTTCAGCTGCTCGAACTCCTCGTGGGTAACGAGCAGCTTCGTGGAGTGCTTGATGAGCCCACCCGCCCTGTAGCGTCGAGCTCCGTACTCGCACATGTCGCACCTCACCTGGTACACGCGCTCGTCTGCCAGTAGCTCCAAAATCGCGCGCTGTGTCCATAGCCGGCTGGTGGCCGGGTTCTCGATCATGGCCATGTCGCCAGAGTCGAGCTGGTACTTGAAGAGGTCGCGGGCCAATAAAAGGAACGGCCGCTCCGCCCTCCAGATCCGCCGGAGCGCCTGCTTGGCCTGCGGCGTCCGAAAGTTGAGGTGCGTGATGTTCGTGTAGCGGGTGCAGGGTAGCTCGATTGACACGAACTTCGGCCTCGAGGCGTAGTGCAGGTCGTAGGTCGCGTCGAGGTCCTTCTGCTTGCGTAAGTCACATCCGTACTTGCGGTCGATCACCTCTGTGGCCGTCATCTGGCGTTTCCACGCCGCCTCGGTGATGCCGCCTTCGCCTCCGAACACCTGCATGACGTCCACGCGGTGGCTGCGAACGCTGTAGGCCTCCTTGACGTTCTGGACGTGGTCGACCACGTCTCGTGCAGCACTGGTAGCATGCTGCACCACTGGCTTGAGAGGTCTAGCCAGCCAGTCCGCGGTGAGCACCGTCTGAAAGGCGAAGGCGCTCAGCAAGCCCGTGACCTGGTAGAGGAGGCCGACGCGCTTGCCCTTCTTGATGCCTGGCCGCCGCCTCGGGGCTGGCGACCCGTCCTGGCTGCCACCGCCGCCTAGTCTCGGCTCTGCTGAGGTTCCCTGGAGGCGCTCGGGTGATCCTCCCTGTCGGTCTCGCCTGCCTCCTCGAAGCCCACGTCGCTTGTGTCCATCTCATGCGGCTCCGGAGGACACTGGCGCCGATGCCCGGCCCAGCTCCCCTGGCTTGCTGAGGCCCTCGTGGCCGTTGCCGCTGGCGCCACCCACTCGTAGTCTAGCACCACCTCCTCGGCCATCACTGCCTCCAAGGTGGTCTTGGCCTTCTCCGGGGGAAGGGGCTGCACTCCGTGCGCCTTGACCCACCTGGCAAACCGCGCCAGGGGCGGGCTTGCCCGGTTGCTGTTGAGCTCCAGGACCGCCCACTGCGCGTAGCCCAGGTCGTTCTTGAGCACCCAGCGGTAGTCCGCCGTGGGGTACTTGCCGAAGCGCATCTTGTCGGCCCCGGTGATCTGTGAGCTCGGATGAGCCACCGTTGCCGAGGCACTGCTGGCCGCGTCCTCGACCTTCCAGCCCTTGAGGCGCTGCCTGAGCTCCGGCACGGTCGCGCGCTGGTCGAACTCGATCTGGCGGCCCTGGCACAGCTGCTGGAGCTCCTCCTTGTTCTTCTTGCCAAGCCCCGGGATGTAGTCGCCCTGCGGCGTGCTCTCGCGGCCCTCGGCCCTCAGCGCACGCAAGATCACCCGGAGCTGGTCGCGCGTGGCGTCGCGCACATCCAAGTCGTAGCTTGCCACCTCGGCCTGCAGCTCCGGCATCCGCATGCTGGATATCGCCAGGAGACGGGCAGTACTCGTCGTCGGCAAGTTCTGGTTGCTGCTCCCTGGGCTCGTCTCCTTGGGAGATGTCGTGCCTCGCTGGTGCGGCGGGGGCATAAGCGGCGGCCGCTGGTTCGTAGAAAGCTGCGGTGGCTGGATCTGCCACGGCACGCGTCGCACTCGCTGGTGGAGCCACAGTTGAACTCGAGCCGGATGGCTGCGGTGATGATGTAGTTTGATGACTGCGTGCTGATGGCTGATCTCGTGGATCGCTACGGCTTGATCGCTGCTGAAATCGAACATGCCGTGACGGAGGATCGCTGCGAGGTTTAGCTCCTCGTTCGTCATGATCGTGGTTTGTCTGCATAATCTGTGCTGTGCTGACTGACCTAGTACACACTCCCCAGGCCTCGTCTTCCGATCCCGACGACGATTGACGCGATGGAATGTACGCGCTCATGGCCTGGCGCACCTGCTGCTCAAACAGTTCGGCGCTATCGAGCGCGTCGCAGTCAGTGTCCGACTGAGACTCGTCGGCCTCCGAGGCGACCCCTTGGTGGCGAGCCTCGGGCGCCGCCGGCTTGGCGGCGCTGGCCACAGCTGTCTCAGCGTGGTAAGAAGCGCAAGGGTGGAGACGAATCTCGGCCTTGGTCTCCGAGACGTCCGAAACGGGCTTGTAGCTCGGCGTGAAGCCTGTGATGTCCAGCGTTGGGTGTCCGGCGCGGCTCAGGCCCATCTGGATGTCGTGCTCGTCGATCGACTTGATGTCCAGCTTGTTGTCTCCGGCGTGGTAGACTGTGCCCAGCTCGCTCTGGGCCTTGCGGCTGAACAGTCCTGGTACGGCGCTGCGCGCGATGCTCATGCGGACGGTGAAGGCCTTGCCGTGCACCGAACAGGGGATCAGCGCCGCCTTGAGGCTGAACACCACCTTCGACGCCCCGAACCGGAACGGCTCCTTCTCGGGGTACTCGATGGGCTGGATGTTGAAGGCGGCCAGCCTCTTCTTGATGTCGCTGTACCAGTCGAGGCCGCCGACGCACCGCGCGCAGGCCGTGTCGAAAGTCAGCTTGCCCCCCGACTCCTTCAGCAGGTCCTCGACGCTGAGGTAGATAAGCGCCGAGCTCGTCGCGGCCATCAGGCACTGGTGGCCCTTAACGCCGCTGCCGTAACTTCTTCGGGTAGCCCGGCGGCCTGGCGCATCTGCATCCCGTCGATGCTGTGCAGCGCGCCGTACTCCCTGTCGCGAGCTGCGGCCCGCTGGTCCTGCTGGTAGACCGCCGCGACCGCCATCTCGGCCACGTGAGGCTCCTGCGCGTCACTGGTCTCGTGCGTGGCGATGTTCGTCCTGTTGCTTCCCTTGTTCGGGATGTCGGCCTTGGCGTTAGGGTCGTTCTTCTTCGAGTTCTTCTTCGAGCACTGCGGGTCACCGCGCCAATGGCCCTGCGCCGCAGTGTGTCCTTGCCTTCATCTTGGCGATATTGGGATCGTCTCTCTTCGGCGGGTTGCCGCCGTCGCGCTTGGCGAAGTAGCCGCGCGCCTGCTTCGCCTCCTTCAGCTTGTCCTTGGCGCGCACCATCTTCTTGGTGAAGAAGGCTACCTGCTCCTCCGCCTCGTCGATCGCGCCCTGCAGCTCGTCGGGCAGCTCGTCCTCGTAGTCGTCGGAGCTGTCTGAGGACGCGCCGTCGAACTCGGCCCTACGATCCTCCTCGTAGGTCTCCGTGGCGCACGCCCGCTTGTGGTCCTTGTCCTTGTGACCTCGGTAGCCTCCTTTGTCGTGGCTGTCCTCGTTGCCGTCCACGACCGATACCTTGGGCAAGTTGATCATCAACTGCTCCTGAATCTTGGCGGGGTTGAACTGGTTGCCCCCCACACCGTTGAGCACGCTCGCCGCGCGCTCCGGGGGCAGGCGGGCCCCCTCGATGTACAGGTCCGCCAAGACCTCGTCGGGCACCTGGACGCCCTTGGCCTTCAGCTTGGTGGCGATCCCGTTGAAGCGGTTGTTGTAGTCGCGGATCTCCTCGTACTTGTGCCGGACGCAGGCCGGGCGCACGAAGGTCTCCAGCAGCGCTGGGGTCTCCAGCGCCTCGGTCTCGGGAAAGCGCTTCCCGAGGTACTCCAGGAACACCTCCACCGAGTCGTCGCCCTTGGTGGCGTCCAGGTCGAGCTCCTCGCACGCCTCCTCGGCCTTGCCCTTCAGGCTGGCCAGCAAGGTCGCTCCCTGCTTGGGCGGCTTGACCTCGGCCCCGATCTGCCAGGTGGCGACCTCTCGGCGGTGCTTCTTCATGGTCTTGCTCGTGCCATCGAAGACGGGTGCGGGGATCTTGCCCCCGTTGCTCTTGTCCTCGCCGCTGGCTGCAGCGGCTCCTCCTGCCGTCGCCATGGTGGCGACCTCGAATGAGAGGTACAGTCGCAAACCGAATCACGAGCCTGTAGTGCTTGCTAAATGACTCCGCGAAGTCGCGCACGTAGCTGCCGTGGTCGAGTTAGCTCCTGCTACCAATGCAGACCCGATATTGCGATGAGGGGTCTGGGTGCGATGATAACCGCGAGGTTGTCGTTGTCAGCAATGACGGAAGTATATCAGCAATATATCAGCAATGATAGGCAATGGTAAGTTGCTTAGCGGCACCTGCAGAGGTGTCTACCGATACGCCCAAGCTCAAGGGCCCTTAAAAGATTGAGCCCAAAAGGTTACGAAAGGACACGTTACCTTCCGTCCGAATATTAGCACATTCTGCTTGCTTGCTGGCACGCTATGCTACACTGCTTACAGATCAGCACTGACACTATTTATTTCACACCTATGTACGAGGGACCGTTCTTCCTACAATCCCCCCCTCATGCGCGGGGGATCGTTTTGTTGTGCCCTCCGTGCACCAGGGACCGTTTCTGCTACAATCCCCGCTCACGCACGAGGAACAGTTTTTGCTACAATCCCTCCTCTCACGCAGGAGGGGCAGCGATCCCCAGTGACCCCCACGCACGAGGGACAGTCCTTGCCACCCCCATCCTGTATCCCACATCACACCGGAGAAAACCCCCTATCAGTTGTTCGAGGGAGGCGTGTAAAAACATCGCGATGTCTGGGAACCTCTTGGGCACCCCTTTGAGGCCTTCCCGAGGCCCACGAGAAGCCTCCAGAGAGGCCCTGAGAGGGCCTCAAGAGGGCCCTGGGAGTTGTCATTTTCACGGGCGCTGGAAGTGACAACTGACAACGTCAAGATGCCTCCTGAGACCCTCTCAAGCCTTCTCGGTGCCCTCCTGATCTCCCGAAGTCTCGAGGAGACCCTGGAGAGCCCTGACAAACACCCCAACGTTGCCAGAGGGCCCAGTGCCCGGGGAGGCGTCTGGCGTCGACGACGGCCGTTTTCGCATACACCGATTCTGGTATACACCGATGGCGAAACAACCTGTCTGAAATTAGTGCGACCCTACCTAGGAGTTGGAGCCCCTAGGAAGGCAGCATGAGTAGTGACAGTAAAGCTAAGCTAAAGCTAAGCTAAAGCTCAGCTAAAGCTAAGCTAAAGCTAAGCTAAATATAAGCTGGAGCTAAGCTAAAACTAAGCTACATATACGCTGAAGCTAAGCTAACGCTAAGCTAAAGCGTAGCTAAAACTAAGCTAAACCTAAGCTGAAGCTAAGCGACAACTAAGTTACAGCTAAGCTAGAGCTAAGCTAACGCTAAGCTAAAGCTAAGCTAAAGCTAAGATCAAGCAAATCTAAGCCTAAACTGAAGCCAAGCTAAAGCTAAGCTACAACTAAGCTAAAGCTAAGCTAAAGCTAAGCTACAGCTAAGCTCAAGCTAAAGATAAGGTATAGCTGAGCTAAAGCTAAGGTCAAGCTAAGGTCAAGACAAGCTAAAGCTAAGCTCAAGCTAAGCTCAAGCTAAGCTAAGCTAACGCTAAACTAAAGCTAAGCTAAAGCTAAGCTAACGCTAAGCTAACGCTAAGCTAAAGCTAAGGTATAGCTAAGCTAAAGCTAAGCTAAACCTAAGGCACATCTAAGGTAAATTTAAGCTAAAGCTAAGCTACATCTAAGCTAAATCTAAGATAAAGCTAAGCTAAAGCTAAGCGAACGCTAAGCTACAGCTAAGCTAAAGCTAAGCTAAAGCTAAAGCTAAGCTAAAGCTAAGCAACAGCTAAGCTAAAGCTAAGCTAAAGCTAAAGCTAAAACTCCCAAAGGACTGGGGGAACCGCGGGGCGGATACTGGGGGAACCGCCCGGGGCGGGCCCCACTGCCTGTCCCTTTAAGCTTACCGAGTAAGAACCCTTCTAGGCAGAGCCTAGGTAGGGAAAAAATATTGTTCATGGGTTCACTCGCGCGCGCGCGAGCGAACCAAGCGAAGGTTTGCAACGCCAGGTCGCGCCACCTCCCCCAATCCTCGCCCCCGCGGTGGGAATCTGAGATTGCGCTTGCAAGGGGCGCGCCTGCCGAAGCCAGTGAACGATCCCGTTCCTGGGAGTAGCTAGCATCATGCCCTTCAAAGGCCCCCAGGATTGTCTCAAGAGGGCCTTGGGAGCTGTCACTTTCACGGGCGCTGAAGTGACAACTTCAAGATCCTTCCGGGGTCCTCTCGAGTCTTCTCGTGGCCCTCCTGAAGCCATCCCGAAATCACGAGGAGGCCTTGGAAAGGCCCCGAGAAGCACCCAGAGCGATTCAAGAGGGCTCCACGAGAACCTCAAGAAGGCCTCGAGAAGGCCCCTCCTAGATCCCAGCACTGCGTTGCGGAAGGCTCCCTGGAGATCTAGGAGGGGCTCTCTTGGGCTTTACTAGGGCCTTCTGGGAGCTCTCCCGACTCCCTCCGAAATGTCCCGAGGAAGCCCTGGGAGGCATCCAAAAAGCCCCAGGAAGGCCCCAAGAGAGCCCCAAGACAGCCTCAAGAAGGCCCCTCCTAGAAGCTCCCGACACTACGTTTCGGCAGGCTTCCTCGGAGCATCTGGGAGGGGCCCCTTGGGTTTCTCCCGAGCCTTTTTCTGATTCTCCCGAAGTTTCGAAGGGCCCGAAGAAGCCCTCGGAGGCCCCACAAGAAGCCCCAGAGGGCTTCAAGGGAGGTCTGGTGGTCGAGAAAAAGATATAGGCACAGCTCACCAGTGAGCATCCCACGCTGGCGCGAGCAACCAATTCACTCGAGCGCCCAAGCATTTCTTCGGCAACAGTGACTTGGAGACGGGGGATGAGGAAATCTTTTCGGGGCGTGAAGCCCTTCTCCGAATGGGGGGATGGTTGCCCCCCTCGGATCAGCGGGAGAGGGGGGGACGATGTTCTCGCGCTGTCGGAAGGGGGCCAGGGGGGGGAGATGGCACAGCTTTGAAGTTCAAGCTTCTAGGCCAGGAGGGTTGGCCGAGTAGCGTCGGCAATCCCCGAGGCGGGCTTGGAAATTACGGGGCGGTCGCGGGCGGGAGAAGATGAGCCACCGATTCCCCAATCAACACTTGCACTGAACGGGCCCCCGCGGAGATTGAAAGCGAATGCGAACTTGTCATGGCAATGTGTGTAGGTTTGTAAACTCGTTTGCTAAACCGTGGGTTTTTGAGTGGCTGGGAGAAGCGAAGGGGGGTGCTGCTGCCATCGGTTATCTTCATCGGCTCCAGCCCCTTTTTGGCCCTTCTCTTTCAATGAAAGAGGGCCCCTGACGGATCTTCCACAAGATGACACTCGAGGGCCCCAAGAGGGGCAGTTGCCCTCTCGTGTGAGATTGTCGCGGCTCCGCTGATCCCCTCTCGGGGCCCTCTGGGACGGCGCCGGGGTGGGGGGCCTCGGAGGGCCCCAAGAGGGTCCCAAGAGGGGGCCCAAGAGGAGTCAACATGAAGTCAAAGGAGAGCCCTCTCGCATGTCTTCATCTTGTCTCCTCTTGAGCCGCTCACTGGTCATCCCAAGGCTCCTCTCGAGCCCTTTGCAAGTCTCTGGTATAGTTCCAAGAGGGCTCGAGAGAACCCCAAGAGGGCCCATCCAAGATGCTCCCGGGAAGCGCTCCGAAGCGCAGCGCCAGGAACATCCAGAAAAATAGACGATCGAAACCCTCTTGGAGCCTTTTTGGGAACCCCCTTCCAAGTCCGTCTGCCTTCCTTCTCCCACTCTGGCCCTTTTGTGGTCCACGTATTACTCCCCGTATTCTCCCTCGCCCCTTCCTCCTCCGTTCCCTCACCCCACTCATGTTTTTGTTGTTCGTTTCGTTAGTTCCGCCCGAATCGCGAATGGATCGCCACGTGATTTTTTCCGCACCCCACGAGTTCGGTGTCGGTGTATGCTTGTTGGCCTGCCACTGCGGCCGTCAGTGGAACTCCAAATGAGGCCACGAACCGTGCGAGGGATAAACCGAAATGGACGCGCGGTGGGCGGGGAATCGCATGCGAACCCTGTTGCCAGGGCCCTCAATCCAACTCCCTATGGGGCCACGAACCGTGTGAAACATGTTCCGAAATGGGCGCGCGGTGGGCGGGGAAGAGCATGCGAACCCTGCTGCCAAGGCCCTCGGCCCAGCTCCCTTATGAGGCCACGAACCGTGTGAAACATGTTCCGGCATGGGCGCGCGGTGGGCGGGGAACCGCATGCGAACCCTGCTGCCAGGGTCCTCGGTGCAGCTCCCTATGGGGCCACGAACCGTGTGAAGGTGTGCCGACATGGGCGCGCTGTGGGCGTGGAGCCGCATGCGAACCCTGCCGTGTGACAGCGTGCAAGAATGGGCGGGGAACGGTGACGATGATGGTGAAGATGACGACCGTTATGGTGATGACGATGGTGATTACGATGACGGTGACGAGTTCGATGATGAGGAGTATGCTGCGATGATGATAAAATCATGATTTGTCCAACGACCTGAAAGCCAATGAGAAAAGGATATAGTAGTGCTCGAGCGCTCCTCGGTGCATGATGTTTGCAGGGTGCGTGCGCAGCGAGGCCTGGCGGCATGCGGGCAGCAACTAATGGCAACATTCAGATGCCACGACTTCTTCGGCCTCGTAATCGTCATAGACAGGCTCGGGGTCGGCAGTCTGCTCTGGCAGATGCTCGCCTCGCTCCAAACTGGGTGACCTGGATGTGGCCACGCGGGCAGGGGCAGCGCGCGCGGCTGGCAGAATACCTCCACTCACGAATCGCATCGGCGTCAGAAGCCCTCGCTGATCGTCTCGAGTCAGTGGCCCGTCTCGTCCTTGAGCCAGCCCGCTGGCGCCGCCCCTTTGCGGCGAATCGCTGCCTCCTCGGCCCGCAGCGCCCTCTGAATGAGTGGCCGCCCCTCCCAGCCGGGGGCGCCGACTGCGACCTCCATCCTCCGTGAATCGTAGCAGCTCTCCAAGCGCATGAAACTCGCGGCGTTCTCCGGGTCGGCCTTGTCGACGTCGG